CATACCTTTTTATAAAGGACTGTTTGGAGACAGTGGCTGCCAGAGGGCAACTTTATTTGTTCCACATCTTGCTGTTTCTCTGACGGGCCAGCAGCACTGTTGGCGTTAGTCTGTTTTTGAGAATCAGAGAATTTACTGAAATGTTTGCCTGAAACAAGGAGAAAAAGGGTTTGTTTAGAACTGCCTGGATAGCTTAGTGTGTGAAGCTTCCCTATGCAGGAATAAGCCATGTAGGGGAGTAGAAAGTCTGGAAAGATGCATTTGCAAAATTTCCTCCTTTCTGTTTGGCAGTGGGGTTTGTCCTCACATAGAAGTAGCTGGTGATTTGGCCAGATCCTCGGATACACACAGATCCCTGACAATCCACTGGAGGGAAGGGGTGTCCAAGCAGAAGGCCCTTGCTTCCACACTGTCACACAACCCTTTCCTGCACAGCCCCAGCAGGCTGTAATCCACACAAATTACCAAATTTCATTTGGCTTGCTTGTGTTTGGCCAAGAGGGGATAGAATCTAATGGAGCATGGTTCCTACCCAAGCCCTGCTCTCTCCTGCCCCTGCTGCAGTGCTGGAATCCTGCAGGGCCCCACAGACGAGCTTTGGGACTTAAGGGAAAGTGGCTGTAAAAGAATATATCTGATTTAAATAGTAGTTTTAGAAATACCCATTACAGTTTCATACACTCCATAGCTGTGAATGTGTTTTCAGTGAGAGCGTTCAGAGCGAAAGGATGGTCCAGGGGCTAGGGCACTAAACTTGTCTCTGCTCTGCCCCAGACTCTCTGTGTGACCTTGGTCAAGTACCTTAGTCTTTCTGTGCCTCAGTTCCCATCTACAAAATGGAAACAGTCACTAGCTTATGAGGCAATCAGATGCTACAGTGATGGGGGCCATACAACTACCTAAGATGTCTAGTTATTGTAAGACTGATTCTGCCCAGGGGGAGGTCAAATCTCATGATGGGGAGTAGGCCACAGGGAATATAGCTCTTGCTGTGAATGCATGATGAACACAAGAGACTTCTATTTACATTTTAAAAAAAGAACAAACAAAACCTTATCTTTACAACTCTGAGTCAGGCCTGCTTCCATTCTACATTCAAATGGGAGCTGCCTTCCCCGTGATCTCCAAGGGGATCGTAGCGCTGTTTTCTTGGGGTTCGAGAATTTTTCATTTAAAAATGATGGCACGTCTGTGTCACTCCAGTTTATTCTGATGTAACTCTGTTGGATGTAAAACTGCAGTAATATACTGGTGAATTAAGGCCAACATTGCTAATCTTTCTGGCTGTGAAGAGAAGCTCCAGAATATAAATTGTTTTAATAATTGGATGTATTGATTCTTAATGTATATTGTTGCACAAATCTACAGACAAGAAATATTTATAATAGGGGTAGGAATCATATTCCCACCATCTTTAATTAGTCCCTATGTACTTTTTGGGACAACAACCAACTTTTGGAAGACTTTTGATCATGCATACAATAGTTTTGCAAATTCATGGGGACACCTGTACATCTATTAAATATTCAGGCTCAGAACCTTCCCCAGGAAGTCATTCACAGAGGGAATTCTCTGGATGCAGATCTACCCTTGCCTTTCCAGAAGAGAGGGGAGCTTGCTGCTACCATTGTTTGATCCCTGCAAAAGCTTCTATACTCTTTGTTGAAGGAACTCCATGGAGTCTGGTGGGAGGGCAGGAGAGGAGAGGTTACTGGTTGCACTCCATGGCACCTCACTTTTTAGATCCCCTAGGCTTCCCTGCAGAAATATGGGAGGCAATGCATGCAGCTGGAACTGTGCAAACAAAGACCCTACCACTGAAAACACTTACACCTTTGCTTAACTTTACACACTGTGAGAAGTCCAACAGGTTTCAATGGACTTATGCTTGGACTTTTCCCATAGTTAGAACCAGTTAAAACTGGGAATGAAAAAACAAAGGATTAATACAAATGCATGTTATTTTTCAGGTGTACAATAAAACCTGCATGTTTAGTGCTAAGCCTATACATAAGGGGGCATTATTCCAAGTTGAAGCAATGTACAACCACACTTCATATTCAACAGAAGCCAGATTCATTCCTCAAGGTAATGCATTACAGTTTGTGAAAGGTTTTGTCTAGCTACAAAATTTTGAGAAAAAACTCTCAGAATACATTTCATTCTAGAAGTTATCATTGATTTCATTTTTTATTACAAATGCATTTGCAAATCTGCTACAATGATGCCATTTTGTAACAAACTGTGGCCTCGATTGTGCTAGTGACATTGTGGCAGAGGAAGGGTTCACTTTTGCACAGTAACTCGCAGGATAGAAACATGTGTGTGTGATATAATTGTTTTTCTTATGTCAGTCTCTTAGAGAAAGTGAGGATTAAAATGGTGCGTTGCAAAATAAAACAGTGACCACAATAGGCGTCTTCACTGAAGCAATTTATGGCTAACGTGTGCCTCGTTCTGGCTGACTAATACAAACTGAGTCATATTGTTAATGGTTATGACAACTAAGTTTAATCACCATGGTTAAATGGAATGCAAAAGTTTTCACACTTGAATGCCTAAAATTAGGCTCCTATATCCTTAGGTACCTAAAATCATCAATAGAAGTTGCAGATGCTCAAATTCTCTCTGGGTCTGACCCAGTGTGTGCAGAGTTGTATCTGCTTGTACCAGTAGTTCACCTTCTTCTTCTTCTTCTTCTTCTTCTTCTTCACAAAGCCAATTGGTAATATGTAAATACACATGTAACTTTCCTTGGTTTCCAGGCATGAATGGAACATCTGTTGAAAATTTCTCCTGTGTGATTTACAACATTTCCTTCATGAATTGCGCTTGGAAGGCCGGCAGGAATGCTCCAGAAGATACCCGATATTTTCTTTTCTTTCAATACTCAAAGTAAAGAGTTTTCATTGGCTCAAGGAAGTTTTGAATTCACATTTGACAGATGACATTTCTTATGTTTAATTGAAATATTTTGGTATATGCAGGGAAGAAGATGAACAAGAATGTCCAGATTACATAAGAGATGCACTTGGAAGACCTATCGCATGCAGTTTTCAAAATGTGACAAACATTAAAAAGAAAGTTTACTTCCTGGTGAATGGGTCGAGCAACGAATCGGAGATTCAGTTTTATGATGAGTACATCACACTATATGAAATAGGTAAGGAAAAAGTTTCTTTCTGTTTAATTTCCATTTTTACTACAAGTAGAGAGTGAACCATTCTTCACTGGGAGAAGGGCCTGCATTTGTTTCAGAGCTGTGCTCCAGAACATAAGCTTTTATCTTTCTTTTTAAAAAAACCTGTTTCTAGCCCTTATGGTTGCAAAGATATAATTCCAAATGTGAACTGATTCTTTATCAAAAGCGGATTCTTTAGCTAATTTAATAATGATTATTTTATTCTAGAAAAACTCACTCCTCCATTAAATATCACAGTAAACTGTTCTGAAGACCGAGCAGAGTGTATAGTGCGATGGAAACGGCCCCAGCTAAGCCATGTGAAATCAGATGCAGATCAGTGCTTTGAGTATCAAATTGACATTCGAAATAAGAAAACTAATGTAAGTGTAACTTTTCGAATGACTCTCACTACAAATATATATTTTCTGTTTATCAATCTATAATATATACACAAACATAAACCTCTCCTACACTAAAGTCACCTCTCCTTCCTCATCTGTCATGCAGTCCTTTTTAGATCCAGCCATTCCTGCATGCTACATAGTTTATTGCCTCATTTGCTAACCATGTCCCCATAACTGTCTTTCAGCACCTGCAACTGTCTGTGCCCACTCTCTTAACTACTTTTGTTTCTCACCAGCATTACACTTGCTCTTCCATCATTGCTAACCCTATCACAGCGATTACTTTTCTGAACTCAGATCCAACAGCATGCATCCACAGAGACAGTGGAGAGAACTAGACACTACAATTTGCTGTCCACTGGAACAGGTGAAAACCCCAGCTTACAATGCCATTCATTATCCTGGGATCTGAAAACAGCTTCTGAAAGCTTTTATCCCTAAGAGTGCAGGTCACTAGATGATTGATTCACTAATTTAACTCATCCCCACCTCCAAATATGTCTTTGTGCAATGACAACCCGTACAATATTATAGGCAAGGCTGATAGCACCACCTATTATTAAGGTTGCCCGACACTTCCCGGTCTAAGACCTTGTTTTTGGTTACTTATAACTTTGCCAAACTTTAACTATTTGGGCTGAATTTTTCCATAGCAGGTATTAGCCAAAATAGTTCAGAACAAGACTAGAGAAAAATACAGTTTTTCAATATTAAAAGAATTCTAGCAATCTTTTCTTTGGAAACTCCAGGCCACCATTATTTGGACCAGGGACTTGACATTTGGCAGGGGTTGTCCTTTGTGTCAGGATGTGCCTTTTACCATCCCTGTGAAAATCTGCCCAGATTTGACCAGGGAGAAGCCTTTGAAAAATCACAGTTTGTACTTGCACAGTAGAGACTTGCTAAATTCTGGACTCACTGAGCATATCTGAGCCTCTCACAGCTCCTAATTTTGACTAGGCTGTGCATGTGTGCCATCCCCACAGAGCTGCTGAGCATCAAGCGCAGGACTATGAGGTTATGGCTGCTCCCGACTGCTCCAGGCAGGGTGGGACTGGACATTGGAACTGAGAGCTGGGCATCTGCCTTTCCTGTGCTCTCAGTGCACCCCTGCTGGTGCTCTGCCAGTCTGGAGGAGGAAGACGCCATTTGATTCAAATGCAGAGGCCACAAGAGCCCAACCTAAGGCATTGTAGGGGAGGCCTGGGGGAGTAGATTGGGACAAGAAGCCTGCAGGGAGGAGACTGGGACTTGCTGGGCAAGGAGACTCGGTCTCAGAGTCAGAAAGGAAACAGGTGGGGGAAGAAAGAGAATGGGGGGGGGGGAACTGAGTCTGGATGAAAGAAGACTGGGACTAGGAACCAATGGGGCAGAGGGAAGGAGGTTGTGCGGAGAGGAGAGACAGATCTAACAATGAGTTGGAGTGCAGGGTGAGAACTGGGACTGTCTGTGCAAAGAGACTGGGACATGGAACCACAGGAGGTAAGGACACAGAGTGGATGAGAAGCACAGGAATGAAGACTGGAACTGGGAACCATCAGGGATGGGGAATGTGAGTGTGTGGGTGACTAGAGGCTGCAGGGAGAGACAGACAGATCAGGGAGTCAGGAAAGGGCCTGGGAATGGTTGGACAAGGAGAAGATTGGGTCTGGGAGCATGGCAGAAAACTAGGACTGGGTGTGGGGGAGTCTTGGAGCAGGCGTCTGGATGGGTGAGAGTAGGACCGACGAGGCCATGAGCCTGGGATTGGGATCACAAGCCTGAAGAGTGGAGACTGGGACTGACTAGGTGAGGAGAATGGGACTGGGATAAGTAGCCAGTGTTGGGGTCTGTAGGACTCGCATAGGTTAAAGGGCGAAGGGCAGAATGGGTCATGTTTGTGGGGAATGGGCAGAAGAGTCTTTGTCCACTAAAGAACACTCACCTCCAGAGCCTACAATGAAACTCAAGATCCCAGAGTCTCCATATTCTTCTGCCATCAGCAACTGTCTGTGAAACTCACTGGTAAAGTGTCCCATCCCCTTCTAGTGCTGGTCTAGTAGTGATCAATAATTTAAGACTGTATCATAATGCATACTACAAAGGGGCCAAATTAAGTTTGCACAGGCACTTCAATTCTTGTGCTACCTAAATTTTGAGTGTTTGACTTTGTAAACATAAAGTTATTTTAACACAGGTGTTTTGTGTGTAATTTCATATACGGCATTTGGCAGGGGGTGTCCTTTGTGTCAGGGATGTTCCTATGTGTTTATGTGTTTCCATTATAAAGGCCGTGGTATAGACAAACTTTGACATTTTCAATGCTTCACTGTGCACATTTAACATTCTTTTAAAGTAGCTTTTTGTATGGACTATACTTTTATTCCACTTGAGATCAATTGATTGTAAGAGTTTGTTCCAGGAGACAGGGATTTGCGCTAATTAACCAACCTTTTAATGCCTTCTGTATTCCACTGGTGTGATGTTAACTGTGCACTGGGTTACTACAACTAGCTGGGACTTGGAGCAAGGTGGAATCAAGGCAGTGATGTGACATTCATAAGCCCAAATTCAGCCCTGGGAAAAGAAGGTATAGCTCTCATTGATTCTGATGGGAGTAGCTCAGGATTGAAGTTGGTCAATGGGGTTTGCATCTCTATTAACCACTAAAGCACGTCAGTAAAAGCTAGACAGTTAATAAAGTATTCAGTTAGGGAACTTAGATTGAAAGAGGGAAATCAAAGATGCCTGGAGGTAATCATTTCAATATAAAGGGCTCGGGGCTTCTCTATGTTACAGACACTCCAGCTGCACAGCTATGGAGCTGCAGTAGTGAAGACACGTCCTACAGCAACTGATGGGGATTGTCACCCCTCCAAGAGGTGGTAGCTAACTTGACAGAAGATTTCTTCCATCAGCCTAGCCGAGTCTACACCAGGGGCTAGGTTGAACTAACTACAGAAATTGGGTGTGTACGTTTTTCACACACTGAACGATGTAGATAGATCAATCTAATTTTTCAGTGTAAATCAGTCCTCAGTACTTACTGAGGCAAAACTCCCATTGGTTTAAGGACTGGATGTTATATAAAAGGAACTCAGTGCCAAAGCATAACAGGAAAATATGAACTAGAAGGGCAGAGTATCACACCAAAGGATAATTATATAAAATTAAGGGAGGAATTTAATCCTGTTGAAAGTGAAATTTAGATCTTCAGCCTACCAGTCCTAGTACAGTGCACAGTAGAGAGGGCCAGTTGCTGTGCTCCAGCACAAGGATGAGCAGATTTAAGTTACTTTATCTTTGAAATAATGAAATAAAATGACCACATGATGGCAGCCTAGAATCCTAAATGAGAGAGCTTTTGTTATGCTATGCTTCAGCATGACTGTTTCTAAGTACTGTCTGATTTTAACTGTTTCCTTGTAAAGAGAGACCCAGATTAAAACCTTAGATCCAGTCATCCTCCAACTTTAGGGAGGTTTGGATCTGTCTCTGAACTTTGCAGCTTGG